CTTAGGTTGGACCGATCATTTAAAAGAATGATTAAAAGATTTAATTGGCTAACCTCGGTTAGTATGCATACTCATTATGGATAATGAAGTAGTGGAGAGGAAATTTACGGGAGACGAACGAGCCCCAAGATGTTGAGAGGGACGGCGATGGCGGTGATTCGTCAGCAAAGTCTTGAGGATGAGCCTAGGTGAGACGAGTCCCTTGTATTCCTGGATGAGGTATTTTGTTGGATCAGACAGTTCTCACAGCGCAAACTATACGATCTCTGACAACCCCTCTTTGCAATCAGGATCGATGAGAGGGATGCCCAGAAAGTGTTTGATACGACACCGTCCTGAAATGGACAGTTCTTTGGAACAGATCGATCATATATCCTTGCGAGGAATATTTTGGTGCGTTCAAATCGGCTTGTTATGGGACCTGTACTCTCGGTTATTTCCGAATAGTTATTGGGAGGATAAAGGAGTAAGGATGGTGGACTCATGCATTGCATTGCATACATGATATTCTTCGATATTGATTCTAAATCCTCGAGTTTTATATTTCATTCATTGTTTTTATATGCTTGTATAATCACATGATATATATGTACTCATGTGTTGTCTTGGTGTATTATTCTATGTAATTTCACGATGTCAATGATAAGTTTTTCATTAGATATTTTACTCCCTCTCTTATTTCTATTTGTCTTCTATCCGCGTTTTGTTCAGATGGATCGTTTGATCGGGATTCAGAGTTACCACTTTTCGATGTCCTAGGAGGGGGCATAGAGGATTGAGGGAATCTGTTATACCTACACAGACCCTTGTACTTTTTGATTAGTGTACCTGTGTAGGGAATTTATTTTGTAGTAGTTTTTATTTGGGCGACGATTAGTATTCCGCCTTGTACTTGTACCAACATTTTCTGACGAAGTATGATTCAAAGTTATATTGAGTTTTTCTAGTTACCATTAAGTAATGGTTATGATTTTCGAGCAAGATTATTGGAGTAATTTTCGGGGTGTTACAACCCACTCACCTGGTATGACCCGATCATGATCGGGCCTGAAAAGGGTCGGGTCTCACTGGATCTAGGCTGAGTTCGGGTTCAAAAATTAGACCTAGACAATATTTAGGGTCGGGTAGGGACCAAACATGATCCGTCTTGACCCGTCCCATGGTCATTCATTCATGATGTTTGTATGTGTCTCTGTTCAAATATATACAGAGTAATGATATTTTTTGGTCGAAAATATCATTGGTTCTCTAATTTTTCATCATATATACATGTTTAATAATATATATACACATATATTATTTTATATGTCAAATTACATGTTCACAATAATAAATAATATTTAGAAGACTTTATGTAAAATGAATATACGTTATATTTAATCGGGTCTAGAGTTGGGTCCGGGTTTAAAGGTTGACCCTGTAAATATTTAGGGTCGGGTTAACTTCAGGTCTAGGGTCGAGTCCAGGTTCATAAAAATGATCCGAACAACATTTAAGGTCAAGTAAAAACAAGTCTTAACCCGACCCATACTCACCCCTACATATAACCACTAAAATGTAATGATACAAGCGAATATGGGTGAAATTTCATGTTTGCAAAATAGGTAATGAGTAGCTATGTGTGCTCACTCCAACGTCTTGTTATGACCTCCTTCTTAAACTCTTAAAAGTGATATATTTGGAACATCTTCATAAATATTTAATTATTAATTGATTAATTACTTTTTAATAATTTTTAGTATTATTTAATTAATTATTAAATTATTAACTTACGATATAAAATATTTATTACTAATACTATTTACTTAATTTAAAAAAGGAATCATTTTATTTATTATTATAAAAAATTATGAGAAATATTAAAATAATAATAATTTATATACTATATAAGTAAGAAAACTCTTGCAACATAAGTTAGGGACATGTGTCATCACCTCATGCAAAATTTTCCTTCTAAAAGCTCTTTATCTCTTAATATGCAACCTCACACATTAGATGAAAAAACTTCTTTTTAAATCACTCTTCATGGTCAACATCAAACTTTTTATTGTTATATCATTGTTCAAGAAAAACACACTAGGTCTTAGCTTAATTTGAGTCAGAAATAATGGACTCGACCTCTTATTATTTTTTCCACATTATAATCAACATTTTAAAGTTGAGTAATTGCATTTTTTTTCCAAATCATAATCAACCTTTTAAAGTTGAGTAATTAATCCAAATAAACAATTGATTGTTATAGTTTTAATATTTCATAGAGTTGTGGATCCAGGTTAACACCAATTCAATTATTTTCGGTTATAAGTACTCATCTTAGTTCATGTTGTTCGTGCTCTTCTATAACCATCAAGTGAGCAATCTAACGCAGAGTGTTGTAAAAATAAGCAAAATGAACTTTTTCTTCGGTCTAAATAAGTTGAATCTATCAAAAATCAGTTTGACAAAAACCTATTTACTCTAAGAGTAAAATTTTTAAACTTACTATACATTTTAGCTATCAATTCTAGAGAAATCCAATGGTTTAGATTTACTCACTAATTCAAAACATTAAATTTTCCTAGAATTGATGACTAAGATATAAAGTAAATTTAAAAAACTTACTCGTAAGTGAATCTCCTCCTCTATATATATATATATATATGGTCAAGTTATATCATCCAACCTAATCAATTGAATCAAATAAACTTGTTTTTAATTTGTTGTTCATTAGGAATGGAATATGCTTAATACATCAAACTATGTTTTTTTGTTTGATACAATGGTCACAAATCACAATCAAGTTCGAATCAATCACTACACCTCAATGTAAATTGATGAGTAGTTCAGAAAGTAAATTTACCTCAATCTCAATGTGTAAAACATGAAAATGATTAGTAGTATCATGTTTTGTAAACTACTTTTACCCCAATTAACAATTTTTTAATTAACATAGTCTATATATGTTAATAGAATTGTTGGTAAATTGCTAGTAATCACATAGTACATACTATTACTAAAAAGTTGTATGTTACTAATAAACAAATTGAATTTCTATAAGAAAGACAGTATACATTCAACTTTTTAAAAATAATAATAATAGAGTATAATATACCGTGTTAATATAAAGATTTATATACAATTACTACATTACCCATAATTCATTTATATTATTTTTTTGAAGAGTCAATGATAATTAAATATGAATAGTAGAAGATACAACGACAATGTAAAACCCATAAACTATCATTGTATATATTTTTTAATGATGATGAATTTTTGGTCAAATAGAAGAATAAGAGCTAGGAAGGTTGCAAATTGGAATGGTATCATAGAAAAATAATTATTTATTCACTTTATTTTCTAGTATTGGAGGGAATATTGTCTCAACTCTCGATTTGGATTTATCTGCATATCATCAATAATTTGCATATCCCACAAGTATACCCAATCTCATTCAAGCATTTTCAAACCATATTAAGCTTGAATTTTTTATTAAATATTATGCTTATAACCTCATATTTAGACAATTCAAGTGGATGAAAAAAAATGTATGTACTGACATTATATGAATTTTATACATTATTATTGTTTAATTTATCATGTATGTTTTATTATCATTGACTCTTAAAAAATTAATAAACATAAATGGTGGATAATATATTGAGTGTGTATAAATATTTGCACTCACGGTGTATAATATTATACTCATGATCTAACCTCACTATACAAATATGGTGATATCTCTAAGTAGGAATAATCTAGGTGATCCTGATATCGCTGCTGTAGCGGAACATACCAGGTTTACGGTGGTTCCTGGCAATGCCATGATGGATAGCGATGCAAATGGCCATAGTGCCCATAATAGGCGAAATAACGATAGAGTTGTGGTCATGATCTACAACATGTTTTGCTACGAGTGTAACCTAAATTATAGAGAGGAAAATCTCACGACTCGCTACAATGTTGTTTTGATATTTTAAAAAAAATATACTAAACCAACCGAGTAAAACCAGTCCAACAGCTGACTTCCCGATTTTATGCTTAAATCGACAAAGTCGAACAAGTTTTAGTATTGGTGAATGGCCGATAAAATGAGTGACTCAGACCAGTTATGTAGTTGATTCATAATTTAGACAGATTTGACCAATTAGTCCAAGTCGAGCTTAACAACTAGGCCCACGGGCACTTAAGTATTACAAAGAAAAAATGTTTTATTATGTTCCACCGTATAACAATATATAATTGTTTGATAAGGATAAATAATATTCTCACATGTTCTTTTACATTAATTTATTTATATTTTTTGAAAAAAAAATATTTTTTTGAAGCAACACTAAATAGGGAAGCAAATTAAATAATTCACTTAATTTTTTTTTAAACAAATACAAAATGGAGAGACAATACTCCAATATTCCACTCCATTCCAACCCAAGAAAAAATAGTTGATAAATTACTTCAATATAATTATGTATTATATATATTATATATGATGTTATCCAGTCCGACTAAATAGTTTAACTGATTCAACTGATTAAATCTTATACATGACTTCTTCTAGTTTGATATCCGACTTTAGTTTCATAACATCAATTACGCCAAATATTCTTCCATATATTTGAGAGTTCATTCATTGAATAGTTCTAGAAGAAAAATATAAAGTTTATTTTGAATGTAATATTCATTTTTGATTGGTTATTCATTTTTTGAATCTAAATTAGTTTAATTCTTAGTATAATAAGGTGATGAGAGGTAAGGTGATTCTTGATAGGATTTATGGTAGTGTACTTATTAGGAAGAATGTTCATTCTCTTAGTGATTGATTGTTTTATTGGATTTCACTTACCAAGTAAGTCTTATGCTCCTTGGGCCAAAAAGAATTCAATAACTTTAGTATAACGTGGCTCATTCCGACCTAATAAGCCCAAATGGATCAACTTTCTTCTATCTTTTATATATAAATATAGGTCTTTCTAAAACCTATCAGAGATATAACAAATATACAACAAACCCTAGAGAGGCGGCTGGTATATGATGGGGAGAGATCCCATTCAGCTATGCGCTCTTGTTCATCCATCATAAATATGTATTTTTCTTTCTCTTGAATAATCTTTTGTGATTTTGTAATTTGCTTGTTGATGATATCTTACTATTGAATTAATCTAGATTTCTTTCATAACTCATGCAAGGATCTAGTTAGGGTTTTCATGATCCAAGCCAAGGAAACAATTATAATATTCACTACTTCGACTCTAGAGGAGAATACCTTTTAGTGTTTTACATAATATTCAAATGTACAAGGTAATTTGATCTTTATCTTTTATTTTATTTTATGCAATTTTTATGCTTAGATATAAAATATATAGTTTTATATTGAGATTTTTCTTTGTTGGTGGATATTTATTCATCCAAGATTTAAATTATGTATTATTATGACTATAACAATTCAAGCCTTTTTATGTCGATCGATTATAATCGGGAGTTGATAAGATAAATTTAACTGGATATCTAGAGAACAAATTCATTTCTCATAAGATCTCTCTAACAACGATTTCTACTACAAATCAATGTGTCTTATGCTGTTTTTATAGATTTTAAAATAAAGAAGATAAATTAGCAACATGATTATAAAATGTGAGAAATCATAACTAACCATGATTTTCTTTACAGTTGAAAACTGGACTTCTTCAACGAGAGCTACCAATAATTGTGCACCTATGAAGTTTGGAGAAACGTACGTAAATTGCCTCACTACATGACAATGAAAATAAAGAAAAGTGGTAAAATTATTCAAGAGGCTGTAAGTTCTACCATATTATCAATGAGAATAGATTATTACAATATAAGTTCACTAAATAAATGTTATGCATTTTCATTTTCACCCTTACTTTTGTATGTTATGATTATATTCAATGAACCTTACAATATTAGATATTGTATTGTCAAAGAAGAAAATAAAGTTCATTACTAATGATAATATAATGACGGAGATTATACTTCTCAATTATCTACTACCCTTAATAATTCAAAGGACATAATGTCTACTTAGGATATGAGGGGATTAAAACACTCAAAAAATTTAGTTCTTACCAAAAATAATTTGTTCAAAGTGTGAGTGCATTAATTCATGCATATATTTAATTCTTGTAGTGAATGCATAAAAATTATTTTAAGGTAACTTTTGTTATGATTTGGTCTTGAACATGTATCCACATGGATATAGAAGTTAGGGTAACCCTTGTGTAGTTTCTTTTTGTCATTTGTAGGAACTAGTAGTTCCTAGAGTTTTAATACCTTCCTACTTTAAATAGACATTTACTTCTGTGAACTTCAAGACTTGTGGATAAGAGGAGTGTCATTTCTTGACTTCTTAACCAGGGATATTATACTCCCCAATTATCTTCTACCCTTAATAATTCAAAGGACATAATGACCACTTAGGATATGAGGGGATTAAAATTCTGAAAACTTTTAGTTCTTACCAAAAATAATTTGTTCAATGTGTGAGTGAATTAATTCAGGCATATATTAAATTCTTGTAGTGAATGCATAAAAATTATTTTAAGGTATAATTTTTGTTATGTTTTGGTCTTGAAAATGTATCCACATGGATATAGAAGTTAGGGTAACCCTTGTGCAGTTTCTTTTTGTCATTTGTAGGAACTAACAGTTCCTAGAGTTTTAATCCCTTCATACTCTAAATAGACATATAGTTATTTGAACTTCAATACTTGTGGGTAAGAAGAGTGTCATTTCTTGATCAGGGATATTATACTCCCCAATTATCTTCTACCCTTAATACTTCAAAGGACTTAATGTCTACTTAAGATATGAGGGGATTAAAACAATGAAAACTTTTTGTTCTTACAAAAAATAATTTGTTAAATGTGTGAGTGCATTAAATCGGGCATATATTTAATACTTGTAGTGAATGCATAAAAATTATTTTAAGGTAAAACTTTTTGTTATGTTTTGGTCTTGAACATGTATCCACGGGGATATAGAAGTTAAGGTAACCCTTGTGTAGTTTCTTTTTGTCATTTGTAGGAAGTAACAGTTCCTAGAGTTTTAATCCCTTCATACTCTAAATAGACATATAGTTCTTTGAACTTCAAGATTTGTGGATAAGAGGAGTGTCATTTCTAGATGAGGGAGATTATTCTCCCCAATTATCAACTACCCTTAATAATTCAAAGGATATAATGTCTACTTACGATATGAGGGGATTAAAATTATGAAAACTATTAGTTCTTACCAAAAAAAAATTGTTAAATGTGTGAGTGCATTAAATCGGGCATATATTTAATACTTATAGTGAAAGCATAAAATTATTTTAAGGTATAATTTTTGTTATGTTTTGGTCTTGAACATGTATCCACATGAATATAGAAGTTACGGTAACCCTTGTGTAGTTTCTTTTTTGTCATTTGTAGGAACTAACAGTTCCTAGAGTTTTAATCCCTTCATACTCTAAATAGACATATAGTTCTTTGAACTTCATGACTTGTGGATAAGAGGAGTGTCATTTCTTGATCAGGGAGATTATACTCCCCAATTATCTACTACCCTTAATAATTCGAAGGACATAATGTATACTTAGAATATGAGGGGATTAAAACTCTGAAAACTTTTAGTTCTTACCAAAATAATTTGTTCAATGTGTGAGTGTAACAATTCAGGCATATATTTAATTCTTGTAGTGAATCCATAAAAAATATTTTAAGGTAAAACTTTTTGTTATGTTTTGGTCTTGAACATGTATCCACGGGGATACAGAAGTTAGGGTAACCCTTGTGTAATTTCTTTTTGTCATTTGTAGGAAGTAACAGTTCCTAGAGTTTTAATCCCTTCATACTCTAAATAGACATATAGTTCTTTGAACTTCAAGATTTGTGGATGAGAGGAGTGTCATTTCTAGATGAGGGAAATTATTCTCCCAAATTATCTACTACCCTTAATAATTCAAAGGATATAATGTCTACTTACGATATGAGGGGATTAAAATTATGAAAACTATTAGTTCTTACCAAAACAAAATTGTTAAATGTGTGAGTGCATTAAATCGGGCATATATTTAATACTTATAGTGAAAGCATAAAATTATTTTAAGGTATAATTTTAGTTATGTTTTGGTCTTGAACATGTATCCACATGAATATAGAAGTTACGGTAACCCTTGTGTAGTTTCTTTTTTGTCATTTGTAGGAACTAACAGTTCCTAGAGTTTTAATCCCTTCATACTCTAAATAGACATATAGTTCTTTGAACTTCATGACTTGTGGATAAGAGGAGTGTCATTTCTTGATCAGGGAGATTATACTCCCCAATTATCTACTACCCTTAATAATTCGAAGGACATAATGTATACTTAGAATATGAGGGGATTAAAACTCTGAAAACTTTTAGTTCTTACCAAAATAATTTGTTCAATGTGTGAGTGTAACAATTCAGGCATATATTTAATTCTTGTAGTGAATCCATAAAAAATATTTTAGGGTATAATTTTTGTTATGTTTTGGTCTTGAACATGTATCCACATGGATATAAAAGTTAGGGTAACCCTTGTGTAGTTTCTTTTTGTCATTTTTAGGAACTAACAGTTCCTAGAGTTTTAATCCCTTCATACTCAAAATAGACATATAGTTATTTCAACTTCAAGATTTGTGGATAAGAGGGTTGTCATTTCTTGACCAGGGATATTATACTCCCCAATTATCTTCTACCCTTAATACTTCAAAGGACTTTTAGTTAAATGTGTGAGTGCATTAAATCAGGCATATATTTAATTCTTGTAGTGAATGCATAAAAATTATTTTAAGGTAAAACTTTTTGTTATGTTTTGGTCTTGAACATGTATCCACATGGATATAGAAGTTAAGGTAACCCTTGTATAGTATCTTTTTGTCATTTGTTGGAACTTACAGTTCCTAGAGTTTTAAACTCTTCATACTCTAAATAGACATATAGTCCTTTGAACTTCACGACTTGTGGATAAGAGGAATGTCATTTCTTGATCAGGGATATTATACTCCCCAATTAACTACTACCCTTTGTCTACTTAGGATATGAGGGGATTAAAACTCTGAAAACATTTAGTTCATACCCAAAATAATTTGTTCAATGTATGAGTGTATTAATTCAGGCATATATTTAATTCTTGTATTGAATGCATAAAAATAATTTTAAGTTATAATTTTTGTTATGTTTTGGTCTTGAACAAGTATCCACATGAATATATAAGTTAAGGTAACCCTTGTGTAGTTTCCTTTTGTCATTTGTAGGAACTAACATTTCATAGAGTTTTAATCCCTTCATACTCTAAATAGACATATAGTTCTTTGAACTTCAAGACTTGTGGATAAGAGAAGTGTTATTTCTTGATTAGGGAGATTATACTCCCCAATTATCTACTAGCCTTAATAATTCAAAGAACATAATGTCTACTTAGGATATGAGGGGATTAAAACTATGAAAACTTTTAGTTCTTACCAAAAATAATTTGTTAAATGTGTGAGTGCATTAAATCGGGCATATATATAATATTTGTAGTGAATGCATAAAAATTATTTTAAGGTATAATTTTTGTTATGTTTTGGTTTTGAACATGTATCCACGGGTATATAGAAGTTAAGGTAACCCTTGTGTAGTTTCTTTTTTTCTTTTGTAGGAAGTAACAGTTCCTAGAGTTTTAATCCCTTCATACTCTAAATAGACATATAGTTCTTTGAACTTCAAGATTTGTGGATAAGAGGAGTGTTATTTATTGATCAGGGAGATTATTCTCCCCAATTATCTACTACCCTTAATAATTCAAAGGATATAATGTGTATTTCGGATATGAGGGGATTAAAATTATGAAAACTTTTTGTTCTTACCAAAAAAAATTTGTTAAATGTGTTAGTGCATTAAATCGGGCATATATTTAATACTTGTAGTGAATGCATAAAAATTATTTTAAGGTATAATTTTTGTTATGTTTTGGTCTTGAACATGTATCCACTTGAATATAGATGCTACGGTAACCGTTGTGTAGTTTCTTTTTGTCATTTGGAGGAACTAACAGTTCCTAGAGTTTTAATCCCTTCATACTCTAAATAGACATATAGTTCTTTGAATTTCAGGACTTGTGGATAAGAGGAGTGTCATTTCTTGATCTGGGAGATTATACTCCCCAATTATCTACTACCCTTAATAATTCAAAGGACATAATGTATACTTAGGATATGAGGGGGTTAAAACTCTGAAAACTTGTAGTTCTTACCAAAAATAATCTGTTCAATGTGTGAGTGTATTAATTCAGGCATATATTTAATTCTTGTAGTGAATGCATAAAAAATATTTTAATGTATAATTTTTGTTATGTTTTGGTCTTGAACATGTATCCACGTGGGTATAGAAGTTAGGGCAACCCTTGTGTAGTTTCTTTTTGTCATTTGTAGGAACTAACAGTTCATAGAGTTTTAATCCCTTCATACTCTAAATAGACATATTGTTCTTTGAACTTCAAGACTTGTGGATAAGAGGAGTGTCATTTCTTGTTCAGGGAGATTATTCTCCCCAATTATCTACTACCCTTAATAATTCGAAGGAAATAATGTCTACTTAGGATATGAGGGGATTAAAAATATGAAAACTTTTAGTTCTTACCAAAAATAATTTGTTTAATGTGTGAGTGCATTAAATTAGGCATATATTTAATTCTTGTAGTGACTGCATAAAAATTATTTTAAGGTATAATTTTTGTTATGTTTTGGTCTTGAACATGTATCCACATGGATATAGAAGTTAGGGTAACCCTTGTGC